CCCCCTGCATCTTCTGCTTAAGTGTCTCAGGTGCTGCTCAGAAAGCAAATGCTTCCCAGCAGGAACACCCAGGCCATCTCGCATCGAGGCTCAGGAGGAGAGACACCAGGAGGAGCATCTGCAGATTTAACCCTGAAACACTGCAGAGATAGTATGCAGAGATAGACAATTCAAATCACATTTGGTATTGCATTTAGCAGTTCATCTCCTTTGCAATGAATAGAATCACAACAATCTGAGCCCACCCAGGAAAACCCTGACAACTCCCAACACACCCATGGTGGAGTGGACACTGCTCTTGATGCCTTCTGAGAGGCGCACAGAGAAGCTGCTGGCCCCATCCAGGACATCCCTGGGCTCATTCCTTGCAGCCTCCATCTCTGCCAACTCTGGTAGAGATGTTAGAGAGGCCCAGGCAGGCAGGTGACAGGAGGCCAAGGACACCCAGTGCCACAGCGGGCTTCATTGCAAAGGCCCTTAGCTGGCGGCACCGGAGCAACACGGGCCATGCTCCGAGGTGTCTGAGGCACCACCATGCCCTCCCTCTCCAGTCTTGGCAAACGTGCTTGCTGCTGGAGATGGCCTTGACCTGTCTGTGACCCGCTGAGGAGGAGAGGCAGGGTCTGAGAATCCCTGCATGTGTGGAGTGAGGCAAGGAAGCCTCGATACAGGTTCCGGTCAGCTCAGGGCCATCGAGCACTGTCACCGCCCCAAGCCACATCGGGGCACTGAGCTGCAGGACAGAAAACCAGCCCCAGGCTTCCTGGGCAAGGCAGGAGGACTGCATGATGCCTCATGGGGAACAATCGGCACCCCAAAGCAGCAGCTACCAACTGAGGCTGGGAGCAGAAGCTAAATGGGTCTTCTCTGCCTACATAAACGCCGGTGTGATGCATAGGAACAGGAATCTGTGTTCACCCCAGAAGTAGCCTAGGAGAGCACATGAGCCGGGCTGGAAAACAGAAGGATTTCAGCAGGAAGAGCAGGACAGGAGAGTTGGTGTGGAGGCCAGAGAGAACATCCTGCCCAGGAACAGGGAGTAAGTGCATCCAAGCACACTCAGCTAGGTAAGCAGTGGGGCCAGCTGGCGGCCGCATGGCCCTGGGGGTGGCCAGGGGATGGCATCAGGCCAGAGCCACCAGGTGTGGGGCAGCGCAGGTGCCAGGTGGGGAAGTGCCAGGTGCACAGCTCACCCAGGGTCCTTCTCAAGACTTTTGAGGAGCTCGGGCCATGTTTGGGGATCTTTCTGGCAGTACTGGTGAGAAGGGGCAGATAGGTTCAGAGGCTGGCAATAGTCATGGCTTTGGAAGTGTCAGAGCAGGGAGGTAGTACAGGAAATGAGGGTTACACTGGACCAAAGTAGCCAGACTGAGGGTGGGAAGGGAGAAGAGCCCCACACGGCCTAGATCCCAAGCACAGAACTCGGAGAGGCTGGTGCTGCGTCCTGGCCGGTGCCGAAGGGTGGAGAGTGACCCCTGGACACAGGACTGGTATCCCCAAGAGAGCTCAGGGCTGGGGACAGCAATGAATCCATGGTGCAGCACTTGTCCTCCCACGACCGCTCAGCTCGCTTGTGCTCAAGACCCTCAGCGAGGTCAGCTCATCGCTTCTGGAATGCACAGAGGGAAAGCAGGGAGGACAGAGGGCAGGCCAAGGGCCCAGCCACGTTAGGCCAATGCTGGGGAAGCTTCCCTCTGGTCCTCAGGCACATCCTGGTGACTTGCCTCAGATCACATGCGGGACCAGGAGGAGGAAGGACATCTTCACATATGAGTCTTCCAGGCCTGCAGGCAGCAGTACATGTGTTAATAAAAGATAGATGTCCCTGACACCCTGAACCTCCATTCTTGCAAAAGGTGGACCTGGGCAGCTGGCTTTGGGCTTCATAGAAGCCCAGAGGGTCCCCAGAAGAAGCCTCCCCAGGGAAACTGATCTGTGCTCTGCAGATGAAGGCTGATCCAATGTCTCCATTGCCCGCGGCCCTGCCAGAAGCACAGGGAGCCTGTGCAGTCCCTCCTGCTCCTGCCTGCCCATGTCCCCTGGGAAAGGGACACAGTGACCTCCAGGCTTCTTGCTGTAATGCATTCACAGCAGGAGACTAAGCTCCCTGTATCGTGGGAAGCAAGGCAGAGCCTGCCAAATCCCTGCTTTGTCACATACCTGGCCTCTGCTTCCATCCCAGGGAGAATCATTTACCATCCTGTGTGTTCTGTGCTCTGTGGGCTGTGCGCCAGGCCACTGTCCCTGCACCATGCCCACTGCAGTGCACTGCTGATCCTCTCTGACCTGACTCCTCCATCCTTTTTCCGATAGAAACAAGCGGGGAAGGCGGGTAACCACTCTGCTGCTGCAGGGACGAGCCCAGGCCTCTGCATCCCTGATTTCTGTGTTAAATCTACCTGCTTTATGTCCTACATCATCCATCATCAGTCAATTCCAGGGAACAGCAGAGGGCAGTAGGGAAGTTTCCCTTCCCATCACAGGGCTTGGCTGCAAAGCCACCCCCTCAGAAGCCTCTTTCCTGAGCCCCAGGGATCACACACTCCACAGCACCATGTCCCCTGCTTCGGAAGCAATCCTGGGACAGACCATGGCAAGGGTGAGAAATTCCAGCCTTGGCAAGAAAGAGCTCTTCTGGGATGGTCTTTATTCCCCCAGGAGGGATGTTCTTGTTGCTGGACTTTGGACACAGGACCCCTGTGACCCACAGCCCAGCTCATCGACTGGCTGTGTGTCCAGAACCTCCTGTCCTCTCTGCAAAGCTTGGGTCAAGCTTCCTGACTCTCCACGATGTTGAGAAGACAGAGAAGAGACAGAGGAAGAGACTCCTTCCTGCCAGCGATGCCTGTGATCCTACCCACTGCCTCCTCTCCTGCTCATCTACCAGGCAGCAGTCAGGGCATCCTGACAAAATTCACACAGAAGCCAGGCATGGTGGCACATGCCTGTAATCCTAGGGCTTGGGAGGCTGAGGCAGGAGGATCACTGAGTTTGAGGCCAGGCTGGGCTTCACAGTGAGTACAAGGTCAGCCTGAACTACGTAACCTGTCCAAAAAAAAAGCATATAGAATAACCCCATCATTAGACAAAATTCGCAGGGCCAGTGGTTTGACTGAGCCCCTCCACTGGGCCCAGTAGACAAAACCACAACAGAAGTTCCCCTCCTGGGTTTCCACATCAGCACGCAGAAACTAAGGTACTTATCAGGTTACAAGGAGGTAACAGCGAAGTCCCCAGCCAGGCACGATGGCATATGCCTTGTTATGCCAGCACATGGGAGGCTGAGGCAGGAAGATCAAAAGTTCAAGGCCAGCCTCGACTACATAGAGAGACCTCATGTCAACAAATCAAAACATTTTTAATAAATTTTCAAAAATAAACAGCTGAATCTCTGCACAGGTATGATAAGGAAGTTCCTTGTGTCATTTTTCTCTCGAGACAAAATACCCAACACCCAAGGTTGAAGGGGGAAAGGTTCATTTAGCTCACAGTGTAGAGGTTTCAGTCCACAATCAGCTGGCTTCAGGGCAGGGCGGCGTGGCAAAGGGGCATCACAGAGAACATTTCATGCTGCCCACAAGGCAGCAAGAGCAACAAGGGTCTTAACAGCGTCTTTCTGTCCCTTCATTATCGAGGCTGCTGGATTAGGGCAGTGCTAAACCAATCAGGGGACTGATTCCGTAACCAAGCACCCTTAATCTCAGTGTCCTACAATCCAGGTCAAGCCACCTCTGAAAAGCTCCACTTTAGACTGCAGGAGGCTTTAGGGGGACATCTAGACACAGCGCAACACTCTGCTTTCACTCTATAAACAAATAAGTGACCCGAAGGTAACCAGGCAGGATTTCCCTGTCGCTGTGTTTCCTTGTTTCCACTGTCCAAGCTCAATATTTCACAGCTGCCCAGCGGGAGCTCTTCATCTGCTCTGCAGAAAGCCGTCTGGCTCCGTGCAGGAATCACAGATAAAGGCCAATTAGACCTACAGCGATAGTTGTGATTTCGCCTCTCCATCTAGGACCCTGGGCTGAGTGCCAGCACCACACGGTCCCCATGCCGGGGTTCTCCTGCCTGTGAACACATTTCTTCTTCTTCCATGCAAAACCCCCTCTCGTACCAGTAGTCAAGCTTGTTAATTTTAGCCATCATAACTGGTGCATCGTGGCGTCTCATTACATGGCTTTAAGCTGCATTTCCTTGTGACTAAGGCGCTGAGTGTCTTTCCACCTGCTTGTGTATCTCCTGGGGTGACATCTCCAAAATAAGCTTAAGAAAATAAACTGCAATAGCTAAACCTGAACGTGGATCTTTTTTCATGAACTTGATTTCTTTTTCTTTTCAAGAGCAGAATATATTTATTAGGGGGAAGAAAACTCCTGTCCTGGAGCGGGACAGAGAAGGGGCCCGAGAGGGTTGTCCCTCATGAGCTTGTTCTACATTTCACTCCATTATCCCAAGTGACAGTCATGCTTTTTTTTTAACCTTAAAAATGGCAGTAAGGGCTGGAGAGATGGCTCAGTGGTCTAAAGCACCTACTTGAAACAAGCTTGTCAAAGCACAGGGACTGCGGTTCGATCACCCAGCACCACATGCCAGCCAGCCCCGCCCCCTGGTGGGCTGAGCTGGCCACACACACACAATAAATAAATGTAATAAATAAAGAATTAAAAAAAAAAAAAGGCAGTAAAATATTTTGTTTTTTTCCTCGACTGTGAGACACAGCACCCAACACCCACAATTTGAAGATGGAGGGGTGCATTTTGCCTTGTAGATTCGAAGGGTCAGACCTTGAATGCTCAACGGCACGGTGGCAGGACCTGGGTGGAGCAAAGCTGCTCAAGGTGTGGTGGACAGGAAGCAGGGGAGAAAGGAGGGGCCGAGGAGGGAGACGAACCCCCAGGCACCTGCTGAGCCCCTGTGATTCGGTCATCTCTAAGTCCCCCTCTGTGTGCATAGGCTTTGGGGGGACATTCAGATATAAACTGTAACAAATACATATAGCATAAAGTTTACCATTTTAATCATATGTAAAATATAGTTTAGTGCCATTCCAAACTGTAGGGAAAGAAAAAGCTTTCTCTCTGCTCTTCATCGTTCTGAGTTGGAACAGGCCAACAACAACAAAAAGCCAGCCTCACAAGAGAAGAGCAACGCCAAGGTTAGCAGCATACATGCCTCCTGCAGACACGGAAGCATGCCCAGAGACGTAGGTGAAGCCACAGACGTAGCCACGAATCACCAACGCGCACCCTCTTCCCCGCCCTGGCAGCCCCAAGCTGCCTGTGTCTGGGAGTAGCTCCCGTACCTCAGCGAGTGGCGTCACACAGCGTCTGTCCTTTGGTGAGCGCCTCGAGTGCCTGAGCTCGAGGTCCTGGTGCTGCAGCCTGCGTCCAGGCCCTTTTCTGGGAGCTGCACACCTTCTGCCCTCGTACGCACTTTTGTTTATCCATTCGATCACCTCTTGGCTACTCTAAGTATCGGTGCAGACTGATTCCTTCAGCTCCCTTATCAACTCCATTAATTTCTGTTAGTCTCGCGTTAATGATTGAACACACTGCATAAAGCGGTGCCCGACACATGGCAGGCGTATAATAAACCTATGCGAAGTGAACAGCCACGGAATGTGAAGTGAACAGCCGAGTGAGCGCATGAATGAGCAAAATGAAAGAGCGAGTCCCCGGCTGCGCTCGGCTCAGAGACCGCGCCGGTGTCCTTTGTCCTGTGGCGCCAGTCCCATCTCCGCGGGCCAGGCTGCTGAGTCAGGGAAGACGCTGATCTCCTGGATCCTGTCCAAGAGGGCAGGACAACAAACACTCCCCTGCCGAGGTCCGTCACCCTTGCCTTGACTGCTGCCCCAGGGGAGGCCAGCTGCCTGCCACGCCAGGAGAGTGACCGGAGAGTGACCTTCCTGAGATGTGCAGATGACGCGTTGGACGCCAGCCTCTGCCCTGCAGCATGAATGCCATCCGTAGCAAACACTGTTGGTGCCTACTGTGTGCCCAGGACGTAGGAGCAGCAATGCACCGAGTTGTTGAATAAGCCTCTAAGATCCCATTTTATGGAAAAAAACACAAAGGTACAGAGAGGCTACTTAACTGGTTCTTCATCACCCAGCCGATTGACTGGCACCAAGATTGACCAGTCTGTTCTACTGTTTTTCTAGTACTAGGATCCAAGCTACATCCCTAGTGCCCTTTACTTTTTTGAGACAGACTCTTGGTAAATAGTCCAGGCTGGCCTTGAACTTTGGACCTTCCCGCCTCAGCCTCCTAAACAGCTGTGCACCACTACACCCAGCTGAGGCACTCTACTCTAGAACCTACCTGGCAGAAGGAAAACGCACCGCCGATCGCTGTGACAGCAGTTTTCAGTGAATTATTTCGAAGCTAGCCAGGGTACTTTAAAATGTTGTAAAATTTAAATAGCCATAAGATGGATAAAATATACCTTTTTTATTCACAAATCCCACCAAAAGATAAATACTGCTAACATATTAGAATGTTTCCATCTAGTTACTCTCCATACTTATGGGAGTGATTTAATTACTATGCCACTGGTCTTTGCTCTACCCTACTAACTCCCACAGCTCCCAACCAGGGCACTGCCAGGCTCTTGCCTGTGGGTCTCTAAGGTGCCCCTCCCAAATGGCCCAACAAAACTGAGAATGGATGGCATGCCATGCAATGTGCTGCTCTTCCTGAATAACTCCATCCTCAAGCCACGTATGACCCCCCAAGGGTAGCTGTCACCGTTGTTTGGGCCCACTGAGGGGATGCCACACCATGAAGAAGAGGCCTGATGAGGACAGCAGGCCTGCTTATTTCAGGGTGTCAGCCACTGGGGCAGGCGAGGGGTCCATGGTAGCCTGTGGGTGCCCAGTAAGGAAGGTCAGAACCCAGCAGAGCAAGGACAGAGTCCTGCAGGAAGTGGGCAGCAGGGCACCTGACCACAAGAAGAGCGAGGAAAGTGACTGTGTGAATGAGCCCAACCCAAGAAGAATGGCATCGTGGAGGGGGCTTCGGGGAGCGGGATCGACTCACACACAGCGTGACCAACAAGGAGACTGTGAATAATGCAAACCAGGTTTGTCCCTACGGCACAAAGGAGTTACAAGAGAGAAAACTAAACGAAATCTTTGTGCCTTAAGTGGGATCTATAGTTCTCTAAGAAAAAAACTAACCTGTGAGTGTTCTAGGTACACCTTACCACCCCCGCCACCCCAGCAATTTGTCCTATAAGCACTGGTTATTCCCTAGAGAGCACAGTTTTAGAAGCCAAGTCCCAGGTGACGGATTCTTCATGACAGGGGTGTTGCCCTCTCAACGGGCACAACTAGGGATGTGTCATGTAATTTTATATTACTTCTAGACATAACTGTAATATTGAATATAACGAGTTCACACCATGTGTCTGATCCCAATGAAGCACCTCTCCACAAAACACTCTTACAAAAGCAAAACTGTAACTTCATAGTGGAAAAGTCTGGCAGACAGCACCTTCATCTCCATAAGAGACCTTCCTGCCAAAGATTCAAGACTGGAATCACATCATGAGTGCGTGCGCGTGCGCGCGCGCACACACACACACACACACACACACACACACTGAGGGACATTCTACCAAACAAGCACAATGTGAAAAGTGTCAATATCATCCAAGGCAAGGAAACTAAGAAGGGCTCTGACCTGAAGGAGACAGAGAACAGACAAGAGGTGCATGTAACAGTTTAGGTCTGAACTGTCCCCCAAAAGTCTTACATTCAGGAATGGGGCATTTGGAAGATGCCTGGATCACCAGCAGATTGAGCCAAGGGTAAATTTACAGCTGACGACACCTTAGGTGGTGGGCCTTGATTGGAGGAGGGTCACTGGAGGCATGATGAGGGGAGTATCCTTGTCCTTAGATGCTCCTCTCGCTCTGCTTCCTGGCCACCAAGAGCTGAGCAACTGTCCCCCTCCAGGCCTTTCCACTAGGCCATTTCTGCCTTCGGGCCAACCAACCATGAATGGAACCCACTAGGATCAGGAGCCATAAAGCAACCTCTCCTTTAAGCTGTAGGAGTGCGGTAGTTTGCATTAGCTATAGAAAAGCCAGTAAAACCACAAAGGAAGGAGAAAAAACAAATGCAAGGCTTGATCCATATGACTGGAACAGAACAAATGACAGGCATCCACCTGAGGATGAGATGGCACCAGGGCATGGACATCAGTTTCCTGATTTTGAGGGTGTAATGGTTGACACATTGCGTCACCCTGAGAAGTCTAGAAGCTTAAGTAGGTGACTCAGCAGTTCTGCATCCTAGGGTGTAGAGGACATGCCCCAGGGCGGCTGTGTAAGTCCCAGAACGTCGTAATGGTTGATTCACTGTGCCAACCTCAGAAGTTCAGAAGTTGAACCATGTGACTCAGCCGGAGGCCGTGGCCTCACTTTGTAAACACCCTGAGCCTGTGCAAGAGGAGCGCAGGAGACAGTGTGGGTGCTACACCCACCCAAGGGCGGGTGGCCTGCGTACAGCATAAGGGAAGCAGAGGTTTGTTCACTGTCCCCCTTCTCTGCTCTTGCTGGTTTTGTTTTCTCCTGCTGCTGTGAACGGTTGCCCCTCTGCCACGCCACCCCGCCTTGCAGCCAGCTGAAAGCTGCCCAAACCGGGAGCTAAACAAAGCTTTCCTTCCTTCATTTTGGGTATTGGGATTTTGTCTTAGCAAGAAGAGAAAAGTTAGACAGATGGCTCTGCTGTGCACAAGGGGAAGGGCCCTGTGAGAGAGAAGCGCATGGTAAATAAGGCTCAAGCTGGGGACAAGTGCCAATCTGGGCAGCGTCTGGATTGGGCTGCACCAAGGTGCCTGGCTGATGGTGGAGAATGGGGAGGTGTGGGATCGGGACTGCTGATGCCGAGATGAGACAGAAAAACATTAAATGTGCTCTATTTTTGGAGGGGCTTTGTACACAGTCACAGCTAACCCTGAACTCGACCCCTCCTGCCTCAGCCTCCCATATGCTGGGATTACAGGTATATACCTCAATGCACAACAATGACTTTTTTTTTTTTTTTTTTTTTTTTTGGTGGAACTGGGGATTGGACTCAGGCTCTTGCGCTTGCCAGGGAAGCGCTTATTCCACTGAGCCATGTCCCCAGCCCCCCAGCAATGACTTTTTTACAGATTGAAGCACAGCTCTTCTAATAAAGGACTGGCTTTTAGGATGAAATTATTCCAGCTTCAGAGAAGTCTCTGGTCAGTGGCCGCCAAGGCATGGACGTCACAGCAGGAGGCTGTGGTGGAGCAAGACTGATCAGCTCAGGGCAGCCCGCAAGAGGAGCACAGGGGAAGAAAGTAAGAGAGAAGAGGCCAGGGACCAGATACGGTCACTAAGGTCATGGCCCCACGACCACCCAGAGTGCTACCTTTATGAGGCTGCTGGTCTGGTGACGGTCAAGATTAGCCGTGACACCTCCTACAAATCAATCGACTCTGTGCCCTGGCTGCCCAGTGACTTCAATGTGGGGGATGCTGAAGAAGTGACACTGTGTCACTATGCCATGGAAGGCTCTTAGTGCAGTTTTGTCCTTGAGCCCGGCAGCCTTGCTTTTCAAAGACACAAGGACTGGGGCTCCCAGCAGTGAGGCCCCCTTAGGTCCCCAGTCAAGCACCCAACCAGAAACACTGCAGCAGAACCCCCTGGCCAGTTGTAAAGATCCGTGTCCCATCACAGGCAGAGGCTGAAGGGACTAGGAAATGATTTCAACATGCCGAGAACTGAGAGCCAGAAATACATGCACTGTGTGGGGCCTGGTGATGAATCCCTGTGTCTCTGGCACCAGGAAACTTGAGAGTCGAGGTGAGCTAAGATATACAATTGAGCCAGGCACTGTGGCCTGGGTTCAAACATGCCCCTAAAACAGGGGAGGAGGTCATCCTAGGTCTTGTGTAGAACAACTGTGAATGTTCCAGAAGGTCAGAGAACGCCTGACTTTGACAGCAGGTAGTAGACAACTGACCCTGAGGGGCTGCTGAACACTAGCCTGCCAGCGAAGGCTCTCCCCAAATTGCCTGGGGCTCCTGCTCATCCTAGGTGCAACAAGGACTAACTGCTGATGTCACACAGCCTGGTGGCACTTCAGGACCATTGACAATGTGCCTGCCCCCTGGTAGGACCCACAGGGGTGGGGATGGTGACAGGAAGGTGGCTGGCAGGCTTGGACAGGCTGGTACTGCACCTGTGGCTCAGCCCTCCCTGTCCATCAGCCAGCGACTGCTGACTTAGTCACCTGCCTGCCCAGCACCAGGCACACTCACAGGGCCACACTCGGCCTCCGGGCACCTCAGGCTCATCAAGTCTTGGGGAGAACCAGCCACACCCATCCCTTTGAGGATGCCACCCTCCTGCCTGGCCACCCCAGGGCTGTCCCCGTTGCCTCCCAATTAATGTAGCAGCTAGCCACCTCATGACAGTGACTTAGGCGGTGCAGCACCTGGGTGACTCAACGAGCTCCAAAGCCCAAGGTGCAGCCCTGTCCCTGCAGGCAGGGCGCCTGCTGAGTCCCGGATGGTCAGGAAGGTAGCACCCACCCAGTCCAGGGCTCCCTGTGGCCACTCCCATGTGTGGGTCCTGTACACACGTCAGGTGTCACCCTAGCCCAGGTGCCCGAAACACACAGGGCCATGACTGGTCTGGTCCCGTCCCTGGGGGGCCAGAAGGGCTCTGTGCTCCCCTTCAGTGCAGCACTTTGTTACTCTCAAGCCCACAAGGAAGCAGGGAGGGCGTGGCACGAGCCTTCAGATCCCGAGTAGCAGGGTATCACATTACATAAAGCAGAAACTCTGCAAAAAGGAAAACTGCAAAAGTTCCACTGATTTTACACTCTCTTTTGGTCACACGTCATAGGCGAAAACTTGATTGAGAAGGTGTAAATTAAAAATAAACATTTTTTATGTATTTTAGTACAAGGTCTATAAGGTCTCACTACACAGATCAGACTTGTAGTAATCCTGTTTTCAGCCTCCCAAGTGCTGAATATTACTAAGCTACACTTTTAATTTTTTGTAAGTGGTGCTGGGTATTTGACCAGCCACTATGAACTTAAATGTGACATGGTTTCTCTAATGAGAAGCCCAAACTAGAAATGATTTGAAAAGCTGAAGAAGGGGTTGGGGAGATGGCTCAGTAGAATAAGCGCTTCCCTGGCAAGAAAAAGGGCCTGAGTTCAA